GACAGCAACCCCACTCCCTCCAGGGGGGCACAGTGGATGGAGCAGGGGCTTGGGAATCAGATCTGGGTCCAAACCCCAACTCAGTCATATCTGGGGTCTGTGTCCTTGGCCAAGTTATTTAGCCTCTTTGAGCCTCATCTGGATTTGTGGATAATAATTCCTACCCCCTCGGGGTTGCTGTGGGGATCCTTGGAAAGGGCCTAGCACATAACAGATGCTCAAGAAAAGATACTCCCTTTCTGTCCCTGAGGTTTCTGCTCCTCCAACACTGCGGTCCCCTCTCCACTGACCCCAGGCCCATGGCTCCCTGAACTCCCCTGCCAGCTGTGCCCTCAGGTTCACTGGGGGTGGCAGCATTTCCTCTGCCAGGAACTGTCCGGCCCCCACCTGCCCGGCTCTGTGCCAGGGGAGTCTCCTTCTTAAACTGGCTGAGGCCAGACCCTTCCCTCCCAGCACTGGGCACCCTCCCAATCTGGTCGGCCAGCCCAAAGGAGAAGTGTGCAGACGTTCAGAAGAGGGAAGCTCACAGCATCCAGCAAGCACAACAGGGCATTTCCAGCCTGGGGAAGAACCCTCAGGGCAGCCTCCCTGAGGCAGCATGGTGTGGTGAGGTGTCAGCCAGGTGAGGCTGGGGCTGTGGGGGCCACCTGAGCCACCGCCCTGCCGCTGCCCACTTCCACCTCAGGGCCTGAGGCCAACATCCTTTCCTTTAGGCTAGGCAGGAGGAAAGGCAGGGGCTGGCTCTCTGGGGGGAAGTCATCTTCCTTCCATCCTCCTCAGGGTGTCTTCTTTGAGGAAAGCTCTCCTGCTAGATGAATGGAGTGTGGATGCAGGGGCGGAGATAGCAGGGATGGCAAGGTCGAAGGCTGCCATGGCCCGTTCGATTTAACTGAACGGCCTCATGGCTGATGCAGCAGCCACCCTCCCTTAGCCCCGGGCCCTGGGAAGCTGGGGTGGAAAAGAGAGCCCTAGAAATGGCAAATGGGGGGGGGGGCGGGGCCTGGCTGCGCAGGTGGCTGTGACCTGAGAGATGCAGAGGATGTCTGTGTCCTGGGTGATTCACTCCTGGTGACTGGGCATCACTAGGTAGTGGGAGGGCGACCGTCTCTTAGGCACTCAGTCTCCATGGATCACTCTTCTCTTTACTTAAAAATATTTTATTTTCTTTAGAAAAGCAACCCACTTTCTTTAAGGAAAAATTTAGAAGAGCAGAAAGATTGGGTAGAAGGTAAATCACCTGTAGCCCCACCAGTCAAACACAACAATTAATGTTTTGATGTATTTCCTCCACACTGCACTGACAAATTAGTATAAGTGTGATCTTCAGAAATAAATAACCCCCTACTCCTAACCTATACATCAAGAATTCTGCTTTAGGCAAAGAAAACCTCGATAGTTTATTTCGTCTCTGGGACCCTTGGGGCGTGGACAGGTTTTGGCCCCAGCAGGTTAGGGGCTCCAGGACAGCCCACCAAGCTCAGGCCTCTGAAGTCACTCACGCCACACCTGGGTAGGGGACGGCCAGGCTATGGGACCCCCCCACCCCACCCCTGTCTCTCCCACCAGCTTTATTTTATTACCTTTTGCATTTAGGTCCATGATCTATCTCCAGTTAATTTTGGGGTATGATATAAACTCTTTTCTCAGGGCTCATTTTTTCCTGTGTGGACATCTGATTGCTTCGGCCGCATTCATTAAAAAGATCACCCGTCCCCCAGCCACTCTGCAGTGCCACCTTTGTCATAAACCAAGTGATCTGACTTGACTGGGTCTATTTCTGGATTCTCTCTTCTGTGGAAGATTTCTTGGTCTATTTGTCAATCCTTGTGCCAATTCCACACTATATTAATTATTGTAGCTTTATGGCAAATTTTGACATCTACGTCTTATAATCCTCCAGCTTTGTTCTTTAAGATTATCCTGGCCATTCCTGGTTCTTTATACCCGGTTTCGCTATGCATTTTAGAATCAGCTTGCCAATTTCTACCAAAAAAAATATGCTGGGATTTTAATTGACATTGAAGCAAATCTGTAGGTTAATTTGGGAATAATTGACATCTTTACAGTATTGAGTCTTCCAGTCTATGAATATTCTTTAATATCTTTAATAACATATTATGTTTTTCATGTAAAGACCTTGTATGTCATTTATTAGATTTATTCCTAGGTGTTTGATATATATATTTTTTGTCCATCCTAGTTTGTCCAATTTTTGGTATTTTTAATATAAAATGGTAAATGGGCATGTTTATAAAAATTTCATTTTTTTGTTACTCATATGTAGAAATTCAACTGATTTTTTAAAATATTGGTCTTCAATCAGGGACCTTCTAAATTCACTTACATAATCCCAACAGTTTGTATGTAAATTCTTCTGGATATTCTACTTACACAATCACGTTGTCCCAGGCATTGTTGGCCTTACCACATTACAGATGAGTCCTAGAGCCTCCTTTTATTTCTTAAAGTTTTTATTGTTATTTTTTTAGAGACAGGGTCTTGCTGTGTTGCCCAGGCTAGAGCACAGTGGCTATTCACAGGTGCCATCCCACTGGGCTGGGTCACCCCTCCTTAGGCAGCCTCCCTTTGTGTTGCTGATTTCCCGTTGGCGAAGTGACTGCCTCTGGTTTCCACACCACTCCAAAGCCTGAGTGCAGCCCATTGCTTCTGCCCGCTTCCCACCCTCACCACCGCACACCCTGGACCCCTGGACTCCGGGCTGTCCATCCTGGAATCACTGTTGGGGTGGACTCAGGAGAGGGATCCCAGAGTCATTTAGACCATAAGCTAAAGATGCCCTCCTCATGTTTCCTGCAGCAAACGCTGAGCACTTGGGTTAGGGGGGAGTGGGGCAGAGGGATGTTCTGGGGGAAAACAGTATTAGCAGCTCCTCTCCAGCTCTAGGGTATGTCCCTGTCCCTCCAGAAGACTTCACAGAGCTAGGGAGGAGGGTGAAACATTCGGCTAAACTAACCCAGGGACAGAGGGCCTGTCTAAGAGGCTGGGAGAATAGACCTGCTGAATGAAGACTCTTCTATAGCAAAAGACAAAGGCTGAGAGGGAGGAGGTCAGATTTGACCAAACCATGGAGAGTCTACATAATGGAGATGTGGTGAGATCCCCCAGATCCCAGAACCCCCGAAATCCAGCATGACTCCTTGACAGGTAAATCTAAGAGGAAAGGACTTTGACATTACTCCCAGCCTTGTATCTGCCCAAGTACCAGTGTCTGTAGGGCTCTGAGCTTTGGGACGGGGATGCAAAGAGAGGTAACACTGCCAGAGAAGCAGCCTTTGCTTACTGGGACTCTGCTTACCTCCTACTCCCCAAGCCCTGTGAGCTGCCTTTCATTAATGCCATTGGCTCAAATGGTTTCAGTGACTTGTTCAAAGTCTCTCCAAATGAATGGGAGACTCCCTACAACTCATCTGCAACTCAGACAGGTGTGTCCTTTCAAAGTGCTTGGTCTGTAGGGGTCCTGCACATGTTGCTCTGCCTTTAGGGTGTTTGACAGACTCCTGTCCCTTAAGGTCCAGCAAAGTGGCTGACATTCCAAGAGGCAAGGCATGGATTCAGGTGGACTCGCACGTGGTGACTCCCTAGCGGGGAAGTGGTGGCTGTTTGGGGGCCCCTGCCTTTCCGAGTGGGCACCAGCTGCCTCCCAGATCCGTGACCTCCTCCAGAACCTACTAAAATGCTGTTTCCTGAGCAGAAGCCAAGAGAGAGAGTGTGCCCGCCCTGCTTTCCAGATCTTTGGATAAATGAGTAATCCAAGCATTCAGTTCAAGAAACATGTTCCACTTTGTTTCTTGAAACCTGGGATTGGCCTTTCCAGGTGACGCAAGAACCACTGAGCCGTTTTGAGCCTCTTCAGATCCCAAAGCATCAAGTGGGCACCCCTGACCTATCTTCCATCAGCGCGTGGTTCCAGGCCGCAGGCTGCCCTGAAGGAGAGACTAGAGCAGCCCTTGGGAAGAGTCACTTTCCCTCCCAGGACTCAGTTTCCCTCTCTCAGATCTAGCCAAGCCCATGCCACTCCTAACTGTTGAGGGGGCTCAGCGGGACCTTAGGCAGAGCCACAGTCAGCAAGGCGAGGGATGCGTGCGTGACTGCGAGTGATGTCTCATACACTCAGGGTGCCAAGACCAGAGGGAAGGGTCCCAAGGCTGAGGGTGGGCCTCTGCCTTCTCTGGGGAGCTTTGCCCCTAAGATAGCTGTCCCTCAGCCACCCCTGGCTTTCCCCTTGGCTCAGGGCCTTTCTGAATTGAGGCAAACACCTGGTGACCATGAAGACCCTTTGAGGGTTCCCTGGTCCTGTAATACAGTCCCAGCCTGGGCAACATGTCTGTGAAACAGCTGGTTGGTTTTTTATTAATGTCGTCTATCACTTTTATAGGTTTTCTGTTGTTGAACCATCCTGGGACGAACCTGACTTGATTGTGACAAAAAACAAAAAACAAACAAAACACTTGAACATAACTGTTGGATTCAATTTGCCAGTGTTGTCTAGGATTTTCACCTTTATGTTCATAAGTGAGATTGCTTAAAATTTTCCTTTTGTTGTACTCTTCTTATCTGGTTTAAGAATCAAGGTCATATTCGCTTCATAAAACAAGTTTGCTAGCTTCCTTCCTCTTTCCCCGGTTTTAATTCTTTGACAGTGGAATGATATTTGTAATGGGCTTTGGATTTTATAAAAACACACCCCCGAGTCTGCCTGCTCAGCAGGGGACTTGGCACAGACAAGCAGACAGACACCTCTTTTCCGTGTTTATAGTCTGCGTTGGCTTATTTATGGCACTTTTTTGTTTCTGGGACTGTTTAGCTGGGAGCCAGCCATTTCCCTGAGGAAGGGGGCATGGGGTGAAGGGAAGCCCCAGGTGGGGGACAGGGGAGCTGTTCTGGGGGACCCCGAGCCTGGCACCCCAGCACCGCCTACAGCCACCCTGGGGTTCCTGGGCCAAAACCCAGCTCAGCCCTCCCCTCCCCTCCCCTTGCAGGCACCATGTTCCGCAAGAAAAAGAAGAAACGCCCCGAGATTTCAGCCCCACAGAACTTCCAGCACCGCGTCCACACCTCCTTTGACCCCAAAGAAGGCAAGTTTGTGGGCCTCCCCCCACAATGGCAGAACATCCTGGACACACTGCGGCGCCCCAAGCCCGTGGTGGACCCTTCGCGCATCACGCGGGTGCAGCTCCAGCCCATGAAGGTGAGAGGGCCAGGTGGGCATGGCGCAGCCTTTCCTGCACCACAGAAAACATACCTGGCCAGACCCCAAAGGCCCCTGGAGGAACCGCCCAGTTATCAGCTATCACTTAGCCGCTGTTTTAATTCCCTGCTAATCATTCTGCCAGGCTCTCCTTGGGTGGCCCTGGGACGAGGAGCTTGGGGAGACCCTCTCTGCAAGGTAGTAGGGTTGCCAGATTTATCAAATCAAAATATAAAATGCCCAATTAAAGTTGAGTGTCAGATAACAATGAATCGTCTTTTAGTACATGTCCCATCCAACATCAGACTTGTCACCCCAAAGGCGCTAGGGCTCTCCCAGACCAGGGGAATTGCGTTGTGTGGATCAAGACAGGTAGACCCCAGAGCCTGGCAGGGGTTAAGGTCAAGGGCCGTGTCAGGGTTTGGAGGCCACGAAGCCCTGGCCTGGTCTCTGCCTCCTCAGACATCTCCGCAAAAGCCACAGGTAGAGCTGGAGGATGGAGCCCTGCCCCAGTGCTCTGTGGCCCCCCAGGCTCAGCCGCCCCCACGGCTGGGTGCGAGGGATTGCACCCCATGGTACCCAGCCGTCTGCCCTGCTCACAGGCAGCCTCCTCCCTGCACCCTTGTTCCCTGCACCAGCACAGGCCTGACTCACCATGGGCCCTTGGAAATGACTGAAGAATTAATGTGTGGGTACAAGGGAGGTCCTTAGGTGTTCCTGCCAAGGCCCCTGACGACGCTCTCTGGCCCTGGTCTCTGGGCCACGCCTCCCTGCCACAATCAGGCTGCTCACCCACACTCTTTCCCCCCCCTACAGACGGTGGTGAGGGGCAGCTCAGTGCCCGTGGACGGCTACATCTCGGGGCTGCTCAATGACATCCAGAAGTTGTCGGTCATCAGCTCCAACACCCTGCGTGGCCGCAGCCCCACCAGCCGGCGGCGGGCACAGTCGCTGGGGCTGCTGGGGGATGAGCAGTGGGCCACCGACCCAGACATGTACCTCCAGAGCCCCCAGTCTGAGCGCACTGACCCCCACAGTCTCTACCTCAGCTGCAGCGGGGGCACACCAGCAGGCCACAAGCAGACGCCGTGGCCCGAGCCACAGAGCCCACGGGTCCTGCCCAATGGGCTGGCCACGAAGGCACAGTCCCTGGGCCCTGCCGAGTTCCAGGGGACCTCGCAGCGCTGCCTACAGCTGGGTGCCTGCCTGCAGAGTTCCCCACCAGGCACCTCACCCCCCACCGCCACGGGTAGGCGTGGGGTGAAAGCTGCCAAGCATGGCTCGGAGGAGGCCCGGCCACAGTCCTGCCTGGTGGGCTCGGCCACAGGCAGGCCAGGTGGGGAGGGCAGCCCTAGCCCCAAGACCCAGGAGAGCAGCCTTAAGCGCAGACTGTTCCGAAGCATGTTCCTGTCCACTCCTGCCACGGCCCCTCCGAGCAGCAGCAAGCCAGGCCCTCCGCCGCAGAGCAAGGTAAGTCGGGCTGGGGCTTCCCTCTGGGGCCACACTCAGGAGGGCAGGGGCCCTGGCCTGGCAGGCGTGCACCGGGGAACGGCTGTCGGACACGGGCCCTGCCTGGCCTTCCCCACTTACAGCGTCAGGGCTGGGGAGAAGGTGAAGGACCAAAATGATCAAGCCTCGGCTGAGGGTTCTACGCTGAACCAGCTCAGCCTGCGTCCTCCAAAGTGGGGTGTGCTCTTCCTCTCCCTGTCCCCAGCACCCCCTGAGCTCTTGCAAGAGGCTTCCTGGACTGCTGCTCCCTAAGGCGACAGAAATGTGCACAGGGACCCTTTTCCTAGTGAGGCTGGCTCCTTCCTTCCTCTCTTTCTTCCTTCCTTCCTCCCTTTTTGTCATGGGAGTCGTTTTCTTTCACATTTCTGTCATTTGTTCCCCAGTGTGTGGCCGTATAGAAGGCTGGAGGATTGCATTTGCCTGGGAGCAGCAGGAGGGCCAACTTTTGGCGTGTGCGACAGCCTCAAGTGCACGTTTTCCTTGTGAGAAAGGAGAGTGAAGGGAGCCCCAGTGGTGACGTTTCCTGGCAGGCAGAGTGGAGCACGTTTCTGCCTCTTGCAGGCCCTATAACGTCCTGTCCACAGTGACGTAACATCCTTTCCCATTTGGCAGATGAGAAGACTGACTCAGAAAGGCTGAGCCAGCCCCAGGCCTCGTGCGGCAGTCAGAGAAGGGCGGTGGGAGAGGGCACTGGCTCGGGGCTGCCTGTCTGTGCCAGGCCCTCTTGCTCGTGCTTACAAAGGCTTTATAACCAGGCAGCCAGTTCTCCAGCTCCTTCCTTAGGGGGTTTAAGGCAGGCTAAGAAACAGCTGCTGACGGTGGCATGAGTAATGGAGCCTCCCTCCATGGGAGGGATTTAAGAACAAGCCTGGGTCTTGCCTGTCTGAGGTGGGGTGAGTGTGGTCCGGCCCGAACAGGGCTAGGGGGATGGGCTGGACCGACAGCCTTTCGAGGTCACTGCCAGCTGAGGCACCCAGGGAAGGTTCTGGGCTTTGTACACTCCGGCCCCCCACTGGGACAAAGGACAGTGGGCTGGGATCTATGAGCTGAGGGGCCTCAAAAGCTGTGCCCCCGGGAGACATCCCCCAGAAACTAAGGTGGGAGCAGAGCCGGGCACAGCACCAGGGGGTGAGAATCGGAGCTTGGTCTCCCCCTCTGCCTCTTGGGAGTCCTGCTGGGCGGGCTTCAGGGAGGAAGAGGGGTCAACACTGGACTGGGCACTGGTTTGCATCCTTTTGGGCTGCTGCCAGCACCCCACAGCAGGGGACAGGCCTGTCCACCCTGCACACTTTACTGACTACCTGCCTTGGGGCGCTGCTGCTGGGTGTGCCGGGGCGTCCCCTACACCTGTGGAAGCAGCTGGTGGTTGTCTTGGGCTTGGAGATACCACAGTTCCAAATCCAGAGGAGTAGTTTCCTTCTAGGCTCCTCGGACTTACCTTTCTAGATACATACTCTCAAGCCGGGCCTCTTAAAAGCTGGCCCGAGACATCCTCTGGGCCGCTGTAGCCCGGGGCTTCTCAACCCCTGCGCTATTGACATTTGGAGCAGGCAGTCCTTTGCTATGGGGGTCTCCTGTGCACGGCAGTAGCATCCCTGGCCTCTACCTACTAAATGCTAGTAGTACCCCTAGTTGGGACAACCAAAAATGCCTCCAGACATTGCCACATATCCCTTGAGCACCCCCATTGAACCACTGCTTTGAACAAATCCCAGTGCAGATGGGGAGCATCAGGCCTCCTCCTCCTCCTCTTCCTCCTCCTTACCCCCCTCCCCTGCGCTCCCCCAGGCCCAAAACTAAGCCAGCAGCCCTCCACACTGGGCACATCCCAGGTGTTGACTCTGGACACTTGCAGCAGCTTCCATAGCAAGAGGGTCTGAGTACAGGCCCCAGGGCTCCTGTACCCAGCCCCATGCAGCATGGCCTGGAGTCACTCACTTTGGCCAAAGAGTGCAGGAAGACCAGGAGTAGGGATAGGCAGGCCAAAGAGGCAGGAGAGTTTGTAAGGAGCTTGGGGGCTTAGAAGTGTTCCACTTAGAGTCAAAAGGGCACACTTGGTACAGCCCCCTAAGCCTGCAGCTGGAGATCCATGGCCCAAAGGAGGGAAAATGGGGCATCACTATAACTGTATGCATGACTCTTCTAGTGGCTTCCTTCCCAAGAGGTCTCAGTCACACAAGTAACTCCAGAATTAATCTGGAGCCTGTGACAATTAATTCCATCATCGCACCCCCATCTCTCTTTCTTGGCGTGGCTTAACAAGTTGCATCTGGTCCTCTCTGTGGCCACACTGAGTAAAACTCCCTCCTTGTGGAGACAGGCAAGGCCAATGAAGGGACACTTGGGACCAGACCCTGCCAAGGTGAAGACTGAGCTGGCTCTCCCCCCACCCTCCCCCACGTCACAGACCACGCTGGCGCTGGGCTCCTGATGAGACCCACCCTTCCACCAGCCCCCAGATACAGGCTCTGTCCCTGAGCTTGGCCACATAGACAGCAGCATCACCACAAGGACTGTGACCATGGAGAGAGGGAGGGAACCCCCACCTCACCCCCTATGCATGGCTCACACCCCCTGTCCCCACCATGCCCACACATCCACAGAGCAGAGATAGCCCGTGCAGAAGTCCCAGAGGCCAGAAGGTGGAGGAAATCATTTTACAGACTACTTCCTTGGGAACTTCAGGGTGGAGGGGAGGTCAAGGTTGCTATTAGAGCAACCTCAACAGGAGCTTTAGGAGGTCCCCAAGTTCTGCCCTACCCCACATGGATGGCTGGTCGGAAAGCAGGTTTTCTAAGTCCAACCTCTCGGGCCAGTAGGCAGCCTCCTCCAGGCCCTGAGCCTTTGTACAGGGCTTTGGGGGCTGCTTGGGTCACTGACACAGTGAGCCTGGCTGCCCCTCCCTCCAGTGCCTACCTGGTGACCTCTTGTGGAACCTCTGCTCCCAGGACATGCATCACAGACTCAGTAGTGGCCATGCTCCCCCCACCCCCAGGCCAGCCCTCCCAGAGGCTCCCTGAGGCCACAGAGTCACACAGCCCACTCATCCAGAGCTGCTCAAAGTGTGTTCCGGGACTTCCTACATGAAAGTCCAGGAACCTTGATAAAATGCAACCTTGTCTCTAGGGACCCATGAATTGCTCTCTGAGACCCAGAAGTCTGCGGTTTATCTAGCTCTCCAGGCCACTGTCCACAGCCACCCGCATTTGTAGAGGGGACCAGGGCTCCGAGACGGTGACTTGCCTAAGGCTCATCACAGGGCAGAACAGACCAGAGTGGATCCCAGATCCTGACGCCCGGGGCCACAGGTCCTTCTGTTCCACTACAGAGGGGAGATGGTGGGTGACTCAGGTGCTGGCCAAGACGTGGGGGACCTATTTTCTGTCCAAGTTCTCCCAGCGGGGATGGAGTGAGTCCACCCAGTCCTGGGAGGTTTCTGGCTCCCTTCTTGCACAGGTCAAGCCCAAGGCAGGCACAGCCTCCAGAGGCCGAGCATATACACGGGTGGGCAGGTGGGGGTGGGGGCAGCATGACCCTGCGACTGCGTGACACTGTGCACTTGCTCCACCCTCAGCAGGCCAGGGCCTGGGCTGGGGAGTGGGCGCCTTGAAGCCAGGTGCGGGGTGGAGTGGAGGGGAGGTGCTAAAGAGGTTGAAAAGGATCTTGCTGGACCTGGTAGGGCCCCAGGCCTGGCTTTGGGGTCCCCCATCAAGCAGCCCAGTCAAAGCCGACTCCCTGAGATTTCCTGTAAGTCAGCTCAGCTCTGGGATCAGGACCAGAAGCCCCCCAGGCACCTAGACAACCCGCCTCTGTGATGAGTTTGGAGAAGTTCCAAGAAGGCCTCCCTGCAGGCCCTGAAGTGTCCCTCTCCAGGTGCCTTTAAAAACACATAATCCCCAGGAGGGGTCATGTTGCATGTCAACAACTCCTTGGAGGGAACCAAAGGATGGGCTCCACTCCTGGCTGGCAGGAGGGCTTGGGCCTGGAAAGGCAGGAGGACACGGAGGCTCCCAGGGCTGGGCCTGAGCAGGTCTTGCTGGATGTCCAGGCTGCCCTTGGCTCCACCTTCCCTCCAACCCCCGAGAAGCCGGGAAGATAGGCCCCTGCCTTCTCTCTCTTGCTGAGGGGGGTCCTTAGCCAGGAGTTTCATGCCTGGGAGGAAGTGGGAAGGCCACTTCCCATCCCTGGCTTCAAGGCCTGGGCGTGGCTGGATCTACGCTCCTGCTTCCCGATCTCCCTGGTACCAGATCCCAGCCCAAGGAGGAACACCTGAGAACTCCCGAGATGGTAACATAGTTCTATGGTCCTCTCCATAACCTCCCAGCAGAGACACGCAGACGCCCCATCAGCCCCCAGCTGTGGCTTTCCTGCCCTGGTCCTGGGAGCTGGGCCACAGCTGCTCACAGCCCCACCCCACTGCCGCGCCGTCTTCCGCCCCGTGCACCCCAAGGTGGGAGCCTTGGGAGCGAAGAACGCCTCTGACCCAGATTCTCTGAGCAGCCCTCAGCACAGACGGTGGCCTGCCTGGGGCCCAGCTGTCAGTCACCCAGGAAGAAATACCCAGCACAGGACCCCGCAGGGACTCTGCCGTCTTTGTCCTCCCAGGCCAGCAGAGAGATGGAAAGAGCTGCTGTTTGGCCTGCTCACCCGGGAGCAAGGCGGGCTTCCCAAGCTGCACTGTGGCTGGGCTGCAGCTCTGTTTGAAAATGTCTGCTCATAGCACCTCCCCAATTTGGTCTGATGCGCTGCCTGACCCTGCCAGCATCCAGAGGTCACAGCGGCAAGCTCCTGCCTTGGGGATGCTCGTTCCAAACACTCCCATATCCATGCCCCTTCCTCTTTCTTTCTCTGTCCCTGCAGCCCAACTCCTCTTTCCGACCGCCACAGAAAGACTCCCCTCCAAGCCTGGTGGCCAAGGCCCAGTCTTTGCCCTCGGATCAGCCAGTGGGGACCTTCAGCCCTCTGACCACTTCGGATACCAGCAGCCCCCAGAAGTCCCTTCGTACAGGCCCGGCTGCCGGCCCGCTTCCAGGCCGGTCTTCCCCGGCAGGCTCCCCCCGCACCTGGCACGCCCAGATCAGCACCAGCAACCTGTACCTGCCCCAGGACCCTGTGGTGACCAAGGGTGCCCTGGCTGGTGAGGACACGGGTGTCGTGACGCACGAGCAGTTCAAGGCTGCACTCAGGATGGTGGTGGACCAGGGCGACCCCCGGCTGCTGCTGGACAGCTACGTGAAGATTGGCGAGGGCTCCACAGGCATCGTCTGCCTGGCCCGAGAGAAGCACTCGGGCCGCCAGGTGGCCGTCAAGATGATGGACCTCAGGAAGCAGCAGCGCAGGGAGCTGCTCTTTAACGAGGTGGGAGGGCAGGTGGGACATGGGCGGGGGTGTTTGGGATGGACAGTAGCACACAACTAGGCTGCGCATGTATGCAGTGGGTGGCCAAGCCCCACGGGCACTGTGCCCGGCACTCAGGCCCCCTGCCTTCCCCCAGGTGGTGATCATGCGGGACTACCAGCACGTCAACGTGGTAGAGATGTACAAGAGCTACCTGGTGGGCGAGGAGCTGTGGGTGCTTATGGAGTTCCTGCAGGGCGGGGCCCTCACAGACATCATCTCCCAAGTCAGGTGGGCAGCTGGGAGGGCCGGGCCCTGAGTGTGGCCTGCCCTCACCGTCACCCTGGCAGGGGAGTGGGGCAGCACTTGGGGTGCCTGTCAGATCATCCTGGGCCCCCCTGCCTGTTTGGGGTAACTGAGAACCAGGGGTCTTGGAAATGGGGAAGTGAAGGGTGGTCTGCAGCCTAGACTCAGACCCTGGCTTTCGCCAGGATTATGGCCTGACTGGGCTGCCAGACGGATTGCCCGGGAGCCATGGGGCCGGGTGTCAGGGACTGCTACTCGTCCCAGCCCAGCCACCCTGCAGCCCTGCCAAACCCAACGTTCTCTTCCACCGGGATGCCCTGCCTTCCCTGTCCAGGCTGAACGAGGAGCAGATTGCCACTGTATGCGAGGCCGTGCTGCAGGCCCTGGCGTACCTGCATGCCCAGGGTGTCATCCACCGGGACATCAAGAGTGACTCCATCCTGCTAACCCTTGATGGCAGGGTAGGCTGCTCCCCATCCTACCCTGCCTCATGCCCCCACTTCTCTGCTCCCAGCACCTTCTTCCTTCTGCTCCACCACTCACTCCCCTTTCGCCCCAGGTAAAGCTCTCAGACTTTGGATTCTGTGCTCAGATCAGCAAAGACGTCCCTAAGAGGAAGTCCCTGGTGGGGACTCCCTACTGGATGGCTCCTGAAGTGATCTCCAGGTCTTTGTATGCCACTGAGGTAACTGTCCCTCCATCCCCCAGGCCTCCCAAAAGAGGCTTGGGAACACGCAGCTCTTCTGCCTGTGGTCCTCTCCGGTGCCCTCACCAAAGACAGCCCCTGTTCTCAGATCCCACTTAATCAACACCTTCCCCCTTTCTGATGGGGCTGCTCCCACCTGTGACTTTGCCACCAGGGATGGATCCTTCAAGTGCTGCCCTGGTTCAAGGGCACAATGGGGTGTGGCCAGCCTTCCCATATATGGCAGCCTTTCTCAGAGAGAGGCTGACAGCTGTGTTCCTGTAGGCAGTAGTCATTCATGGCCACAGGGCAGGTGACCGGGGGAAGAAGGAGACAGGCTCACTAAGGAGAGCTGGAACCAGCTGCTCCCCTACCTCTCCAGCTCCCCTACCCTCCAGCGGCTACCAAGGGACCGGACTGTGGTACTGTGGTCAGGGACGTTCTCCTCCTGCAGGTGGACATCTGGTCTCTGGGCATCATGGTGATTGAGATGGTGGATGGGGAGCCACCCTACTTCAGTGACTCCCCAGTGCAAGCCATGAAGAGGCTCCGGGACAACCCCCCACCCAAGCTGAAGAACACTCACAAGGTCAGCGGGTACACAAAAGGTGACCCCATAGACCCCAGTTCCCCTAAGGCGAGAGGACCAGAGCCTGGGCACCCAGCCAGGCCCAGTCTCCCCTTTCTACAGAAGCTGGAGGGTCTGGGCTCCCAGAAAAGGCTCCTCTTGCTCCACACAGCACCTGAATCTGAATGTGGAGCCACACCCACACACGAACGCCCGTGTTCCCTCCAAGTTCACAGCCGCAGAAGTAGAGTCGCTCCTCGGCAGGCACTTGACAGTGGCCCAGAGACACGTACAGGCAGGAAAAGCAGGGACACCAGCAATCCCTGCTGGCTGGGGAGGAATCCAAGGAAATTTAATTGAGTACAAACTCCTCCACCCCATTTGTCAGAACCATACCATAACCACAGCGATCGGCTTGTCCTCCATCCTGACCTCAGCTGAGCCTCAACTTTCCCCTTAAAACCAGTATATATGTGTGTACGTGCAGGCAGCTAACCCTTTTCTGCCAAATCCACACCAGACCTGCCCGCCTTACCTGTGGACACCCCCTGCTGGCAGGTCAGCACTTGGCTGCTAGATGGCACTGCCATCTGGTGGCCAGAGCAAGAAATGTCCCAGAGGGTTGAAGCCCAGTCGCTAAATAGCAATTCTGCGGCCACAACACCGCTGGGTGGGAGGACCAACAGGAAACATCTTCCAAGATAACTGGTCCCTGGAGCCTGCACTGCTAACCCCAAGATTAGCGGAGAGTGGAGAGCTCCAATTGGCTAATTCCCCGGAGGATGTAGCCTCCTGCCCAAGACAGCCTTATCCCAAAATAATGGCTCAAAATGAACAAAGATAAGGCCTTGCCTTAGACTCTAAGGCTCAGAGCAACAAAGAAATCTTCCTTTTCAGGTCTCACCTTAGTTTTTTGTTTTGGCTTGGCTTGGTTTTTGGTTTTTTGAGACAGAGTGTTACTCTGTCTGTCACCTGGGCTAGAGTACAGTGGCATCATCATAGCTCTCTGCAACCTCAAACTTCTGGGCTCAGGCAATCCTCCATACTCAGCCTCCTGAGTTGCTGGGACTACAGGTACATGCAACCATGCCCAACTAATTTTTTCTATTTTTACTAGAGACGGGGGTCTCACTCTTGCTCAGGCTGGTCTCAAATTCCTGACCTCAAGCAATCCTCCCAGGGTGCTAGGATTATAGGGGTGAGGCACTAAACCTAGACCCACCTTGTTCTTTTTTTATTTTTCAAAACACTTCCTTATCTCTGACCTCTTTTTAAATCTCCAATAAAGGCCTATGTGGCAGACAGGGCAAGCATGCTTTATCATTAGCCCATTTTGCAGATGAGAAAACTGAGGTCTACAGAAAATTGCAACTTGCCCCAGGTCAGGGATAGAGCCAGGGTGGACATCTTAATGTCAATTTCATGTGCCTTTCACAGACCTGAGGAGCCTGAATGCTGAGAGCCTTGAGAATTGGGGGTTAGGGAGCACCAGGAACTAAGAAACCAGAGAATTCAAGATGTTCAAACAGTGGCAGGGCCAGGCAGTCAGGTCACACCAAAGTGACTGCATATCGTGGCTTCCTTTTGCTGCCCTGTCTCCACAGGTCTCCCCAGTGCTGCGAGACTTCCTGGAACGGATGCTGGTGCGGGACCCCCAAGAGAGAGCCACAGCTCAGGAGCTCCTGGACCACCCCTTCCTGCTGCAGACGGGACTGCCTGAGTGCCTGGTGCCCCTGATCCAGCTCTACCGCAAGCAGACCTCCACCTGCTGAGCCCATCCTGAGTGCACCTGCCACCTGTGCCCATAGGCAGGGGACACTGGACAGCCAGCCTGCCGGCAGGGCCTCCCTGCCTCATTCTCTCAGTATTCTCTCCAAAGATTGAATGTGAAGCCCCACCCCCACCCTCCTGCCCCTCAGCCCACCGGGCCAGGCCGGACCTGCCCCCTTGGTCCCTCTCCCTCCCGAGAGTCCCCAGTTGCCTTTGGGATGATGGAGGCCCCTTCTACAGGATGACCCTTTGTTATTTGCACAGGGATATTTCTAAGAAATGTGGAGACTGGTACTCCTGGCCACTGTGGCCAACACAGCAGAAAAGGCTGCTGTGGTTTTTTTTAAGGTAGTTGTACACTGGCGTCCCAGGCCACCATAGAGGGCAGACTGCCTGTCTTCACACGAATACTTGCTGTTCTCAGCTCCAGCTTCAAACCTTGGGGTCTCAAGAGGGCCACAGGGAAGGTTTTTATTACCTGAGTCCCTCTTCCGCCCTTGTGTCTGACCTCCTGAAGGCACAGTCCCACTGCACTGCTTCCTGACCACCTGCCCTGCCTCTCCCCACACGGCCAGCTCAGAGGCCACGGGACGAGTGGGGGCATCTGCTACGTGAAAGAGAAAGAATGGGGTTGCCGGTAAAGGTGGTCTCACTTTACAGGATGGAGAGAACATCGTGTGCGCTCGAGCGCGTGTGTGTGTGTGCGTGTGTGTGTGTGTGTGTGTGTAAGGGGAGGAAGGCCACCCTGACAGCCCAGGTCCCTTCAGGTCACCCACCGCCAGCTTCAAGAAGGCTGCCCCACCCTTTCTAAGTTCCAGCCTAAAGGGACCTGCTGTTTTGGCCTGGCTTCCCACCTCTCGAGTCCCATGTTTCTACCTGACCGATAAAGAGGTCTATGTTGAGTCTCACATCCTGGGGGCGCAGGTTTCTGAGTTGCTCCTGAACTGTGGAGTGTGGGGGCCAGACACAGGAATGGTAATGAAATAAACTGTTTTACTTTTCAACTTCGTCTATAACCAGGTCGTCAGCGACCTGTTCTCCTCCTCAGAACCCTCTCTGGGAGAGAAGGTGAACCACCTCCCGGGGTTCCATCATGTCAAGGGAAGGGGCACCCTATTTGTGCGAACCTTCTGCCCCTGGCTGTCTCCACAGACACCTGAATCCCTGGTCTCCTTCCTCCCCCCTTCAGGGCTGCTGTGAGACAGGGAACTCCAGGGAGGAATTTCAGGCGTCTGGATCGTATCTAGATAATATTTTTTAGATTTCCTCTGCTCCCTAGTGGCCTGCTTTGGGGCAAAGAAATTGCAAGGACTTTTTTTTAAGGGTCAGTGTTTTAAAAACAAAACCATCTTCCCTAGACATTTTTGTGAATTGTTTGCACTTGTGCCTGTTTTAAATTAAACTGAGTGTTCAGAACCTCTGGGCTTCCTGTCGTCTCTGGGAGTGGAGCCAGGCCATCTCTGAGCTGCACACCTAGTGGCCCTTCCTCCTCCTACACGTGAGCTCCTAGCTCGGGTCGGGTCCGCAGAACACCCAACCACCATGGTGGTGTGCTGGCCCAAAATGAGGGCAGAGAAAGAGGGAAACAGGAAGTGAAAGGCCCTTGGGACTACGGGAGATAAGAAATAGGGCTCCTTCCCAGGGGGAAGTGCTGCCTTAAATGGGGGTGGCCTGGGGGGGGGCACAGTGGCTGATGACCACTTTCTGCAAAGGCTTCTCTTTTCCCCTTTCGCTTCTCACTCCCTGGACCTCGAGCTTCCACAGGCAGGGGTCTGAAACTGCTTCTAGTGGGAAAGCAGTCCCTGCTTTGTTGCCCAGAACTGAAGGAAAGGTGTGGAGTTGAGAAACAGCAGAGTAGTGCCTGGAGATCAAGAAGCCTGGGTTCTGGTGCTGGGGGTGGGGAGGAGGATGAAATTATCTTTCAATTTCTAGCTCCAACACTAATTCTAGTACTTCCTTCCTGAGATCTACCCCAACCTGGGGTTGACTGAAACGTCTTAGGAGCTTGCTCCTTAGGAGCAAGGAGCCATGCAAACCTCCTTTTCCTCCCAGCACTGGCCCCCAAGAAGGTGCCCTGGTCCTATGGTCCCATCCCTCCCAGCTCAGTTGGAAGCAGCACCTGTGACTTACCTTCCATATGGAGCCGGCCATACTAGGGCAGGCGGGGACAGAGGCTCACTAAGGCAGAAACCTCCACAGGAAGCAAGGGCATCCTTCCATCGCTCCAAAGGGAGCCAAGAGTCAGGAGCGGTTGGCAAGGCAAAGACAGGTCAGTTCTCACAATGGAATAATACTGGATTTATTAACTATTCTTGTGAGTTCTAGAAGACCTTCCACCACACAGTCTCACTCCGAAAGGGTGTGTGTACGTCCTTTAGCCTCACACACTGATCCATACCGAGATCCAGTGGCCTGAGTGACTCTTCACAATGATGAAAGCAACAAGAATTAGGAAAGCAAAATACTTGGAAAAGTCTCTTCTAAGGTGGAGAGAGCTAGAGGGGACCCAGCCTCAACACCCTGGTGCTGACAGAGGAAGTTGAGCGGAGTGAAATGTGGCGAAACATGGAAGTTCTGCACAGAGCTGGGCCTGGCGAGCAGCATGAAAGGACAGCAAGGCAGTCAGACACGCAATTCAGTTCAGACGGGAGCAATCTGCCGCGGGTTTTCAGAAACATCACTTTCTACCACCAAGCTCTGGGCAACTCCTCAGAGACAAGCCCCACAGTCATTTACCCAACAAAGAGAGCCCAAGGTGACATTCAACCAGAAAACCAACTTGTCAGAGTCGCTGGAAAGATTATAGCCTCTGATACAATGTGCAACCCAGACTTCATACTGTTTTTAAGCCAAAATACTTATATTCCTACACCATTAAAAACTTCATTAAAATTGAACACAGCCAAAAAGGGAGGAGGTGAGCAAGCAAAGATCAGAATGAAGCAGTTTGCACTGGGGATGTCCAGTGATCCCCCCAGACCCTCTCCCCACACTTTGCAGGCACTCTAGTATTGTGCACCCACGGCCTAGACAGGGGGACTGAGGAAAGGCAGGTGTCTGGGTAGAAGAAAGGAAGGGAAGGGCAGACCACCTCAGAAATGAAGCAAACGTCATCACAAGAAAACTGCATAACGGGCAGGTCCTAAGGTTCAGAAAGCATAAGGTAAGGAGGGCTGGCAGCTCCAGCTGTTCGGAAGGGAGCGGTCTCTCTCGGGTTCAGGAGCCTTAACTTGGGAGATTGACTTGGGTCCTTAGTGAAGGGTCTGGGCTCCTGCTACTCCCAAAGCGAGTTTTTTTGTTCATTGTCCTTCACTTCTGCGAAGTGATTTCAAGTATCCGGATTTAATATTCTACGAGAGGCAGAGGATTCCATGGGTAAATGCACACGGAGGGAGAAGCACACAGCCGCGATCCCAGATAAAACCAGAAGTCTGAGCTCGGAGCCAGGCGCAGCGGGGAGAGCGCAGCGCTGCCGCCAGGGGGCACCAGAGATCACGTCCAGGGTGCCGGCCCGCGCGGCCTAAGCGGCTGGGGAGTGGTCGGATAGGGGGGTGGAAGGACCGGGGCGGTGTGTGGCACCTGCGCAAGGCCCGCCCCCTGACCTCTCACCCTCTTCACCCCCAAGCCCAATTTCTCGGCGCGGCCGTCGCGCTCTGGGCAGTTCCCTCGGCGTTACTGGTGAGAAACCTTCCGTCCTGCAAAGACGAACAGACCGACGTCTCGGAAAGACCCCACCGCAGGCAGACGAGGGGCTGCACGCTCTACGCTCGCGGTCCACAAAAAAAGCCACCTGCCGCCACACTGTGGGCTGGGGGGGCGCTGGTGACACAAGAGCTAGCGCTTCCGCGGGGTCCTAGCGCACGCGACCCTCCAGACCCCCATCCTCAGCCCCGCCCCCTCGCTAGGGGGGTACAAAGAGTAGGAGGGCAGGAGCGGGGACAAAGGACCAGGCCAGTAAAGGGCCTTTCTTTAACCACCTCTCCGCGAGCGCCTGTGACTCACTAATGTGCCCCGCAGTAGAACAGGGCCGGCCGCGTTCGGCCCACGCGGAGGCCCAGGAGTCCGGGGTCTCGACCTCCGGCATCCCGCATCTGCCCCGCCCTCCATTAGCGGCCCAGCGAGAAGCAGGAGCGGGTTAACAGGCCCCTCGCTGCTCTCAGCGGAGTTGGGTGTAATTTAAACCTGGACCTGCGGCTCGATCGTGTGGGCTCCCGACTCCCGCGCGCCGCCGCTTAACGTCGCAAACACTTCAATTATCCCCCTCGCGGAGCTTCTATTTAAAGAGATATTGTCAGGTTCTTAAGCCTCGGATCAGACCCGCTGCTTTCCGCTTCATATACAAAGGCTCCAAACACGAGTTCTTTGAGGATTGGAAGAGATACAATTAAGCAAAGCCTTCGCAACCGTTCCACCCCGCGGGAGCACCCACGTGCGGGACCCGGGAGCTGGGAGGCGTGGGGGCGGGGAAGTGCTAAGTCCTTTTTCCATTTCAGGCATCTGACAGTGCGTGGAAATAAGGCTGGGCCTCCGAGGGTTGAGGCGTTGAACCCCAAAGATGGAATTCAGATGCGTCCGAGCTAAGGAGCAAGGCTGACTTAGGAGCCGGAGTTGGGCTGGGTAGGGGCTATGTGGAGCAGTGACCCCACACTATCAATGAAGTCGAATCCTGGATCTGAGAGGCAGAGGGAGCTCAAGTTACCCAGAAGCTGGCTCAAGGGACAACTAGCCTTCAACACCAGGGGCTCTGCCACCCCCAAAATATGCTTTCATTGTCTTGAGGCAGGAGTTTCTGCCCCAGAAAAATGGCCCGATTTCTTTCTAATCAGCCCTCCTGTCCAGAAAGACTCTGGGGCCCCTCCTGGTCTTTCCTTCTCCAACGCATAGGGGAAAAGGAGACTTTGGTAGTTTGTGGCATTATTGTCAGCATCACTAGGCAGAGGGAAAGAACCTGGGTCTTTGTTCTCCAAGGCTGACTCTTCTGCCTGCCTGGCTGCCAGGGTGTTGGGAAACCCAGCAAGGGGAAAGGGGACTGGCCAGGAGCTGGCAGGAACCTAGGCAGACCCAGGACTGAGCCTAGGACTGGGGCGGGGGGGGGGGGTCCACCTTCCTGGCTGGTGGCAGCCCACAGAACCCGTATTGCACACTTAGCCTTCCAGGGACAGGAAAGGCTGGGAATACCAACAAGCACAAAAAAAAGACGAGGGTCTTTTTAAGATGAGGGTCCCTTTCTCATTTCTGGTGGAGGTCTTGCTTTGGCAGCGGAACAGGTTCTGAGATGGGGGTAGGGCTACTGTCGAGAAGGTGAGGGACCTAGAAGAAGGGAGAAATTCCAGTAAAGCAGAGACAGGCGGGTGGGGGAAGCCAGGCTCGGCCTCGGTGGCGGCGCTGTTTACCGCTGAGCGTGCAGCACCACAGCATCCGCGCCCGCCTGCCAAGGCTTTGGCCCAGGCACCGAGAGAGGCAGAGCGTTGGCCTCTAACTCCGGGCCACTCTCGGGCGCTGGCGCCTCCCCGACCAGGCTGGGGATGTCTGGGGCTGTGGACCGTCGGCGCAAACCCAGGCGGCCAGAGCCAGGGCCGCCCTCCGGGTGGGGGCTAAGGCCAATGGGGGCTTGCACTAGGGTTGGAGGCGCTCCCTCCAGCACTTCGTGTGAGCGCCACCGCCCTGACTGAGGCGAGTTTGGTCGGGCCATCAGGGCTCCCGCCCGTAGACGGGCAGCCTCCTCCTCGGTCACTGCACCTAGGGCCAGGCTCATGCTCCGGCCCAGCTCGGGTCGCTCGCTGCCCTGTGCCCGGTGCCGGCCCGAACTCTTGCCCACTAAGCCAGCCTCGCCGCCGTGGCCATGGCTACCCGCCGCTCGCGCAAAGCGCGCCAGCAGAGGCCGCGGTAGGCGGCGGGGGCTGGGTCGTCGACGCTCGGGGCTGGGTGCGGGGGCCGGGCGTCCGGGGGGGCTGTCGGAGTTGGAGCCTCGGGCGGCGGCGGCGGCGGCGGCGCGGCCCCAGGGCCCAGTGAGGGCCTGCACACAAGTCCCATGGCCGCGGGCAGCGGCCAGCTGCAGCGCCGTGAGGCCCGCACGGTTGGTGCGGTCGAGGCGCAGGCCAAGGCGGCGGAAGGAGCGCACCAGGAACTCGAGCACCGCCCCGTGGCCGCACGCCGCCGCCCACATAACCGGGCTGTTGCCAGCCGAGTCGGTCGCCTCGGGGTCGCCGCTGAACTGCACCAGCAGCTGCACGGCGTCCAGGTGGCCTCGCTCGCACGCCAGGCTGAGTGCGGTGCGGCCGCGCTCGTCCCGCAGGTTCACGGCTGCACCCTGCTCGAGCAGCAACCGCACGAAGCGCGCGCGCAGCGCGGGGTCCGGCAGCCCCACGGCCACCATGAGCAGCGTGCGGCCCTGCTCAGCACGGCAGTCGATGATGCTGCGGTCCAGCGCGTCCAGCACGAAGCGGGCCAAGTGCACTTTGCCCGCCTGCATGGCCTCCAGGAAGGTGCGCGTACCCGCTCGGGGGCACAGGTCCTTGGGCTTGAGCATGGCCCCTGCCGCCGCACCCGGGCGGCCCAGCAGCTCCGCACGGGGGCGCCCCTGTTCTCGCGTCCCGCGGGGCTCCGGCCTCCGCCCGCGCTCTAGTGCCGCTCCCTCTGCGCGTGGGCCGCGGCGGCCGACGGTCCGGAGATCCCCACTCGAGGTGCACCCGCGGTTCCCGCTGCCCAGCCGCTCCTCGGCCGCACGCCCGGCGTCTCGCTGCGCCTTCCCCGGCCTCCCGCCTGAAGGTGTTGATTGCTAGGTACTCTGGGCTCCGCTCCTGGCCCGCCACGAGACGACGGGAGCCGAAGCTCGGCCCCCTTCTGAGTCTCCCGCTGCTTTCCCCGTGTCCGGCGCCCTCAGTCCCTCGTGTTTTGGAGCCGTGCCACTCACCCGCACTCGGGGCAGCCCCCGCTCCCCTGCTGAGACGGTGGCGCCCGCCGTGCACGCCTGCCTCCAGCCCTGGCGGGGCGCGCCGCTCCTCAAGCTGCTGGCGCCGTTCCTCCGCCTCCTCTCCTCTCGCGGGGGCCGGGCCACGCCGGAGCGCGAGCTCCTCACTTGGGGGACTCAGCGGCGCGGGAGCCGCCGCCCGCCTAGGTACCTGGCTTTATAGCCTCGGGGGTCTCCATGGCAATGGCTGCCCTGGAAGCCGGCTGCGCCGTCAGGGCAGAGAGGGACAGGGCGGCGGAGACCGCCCCTGACCCCCACCCCTTCGCGGGCCACGAAGTCGGGGAGCGGCTCCTCCTCCGCGCTCCCCTGGGAATGCGGCGGCGGTTGCGGGGCGGGGGCGGGGGCTGCTCGCCGGGGGCCACAAGCACCCAACCCGGCCAATCCCAAAGTCGCAGTCTTCTCTCCCCGCCCTCCGCCCCCACTCGAGTCGCTACCCTCGGCTCCTTAGAAACTGGCGGGATCTCGGGCTCGTCGGGGAAGACTGAGAACTGTCCCGAGAGGTCCAGAGTGACAAGAAACGGGACGCCGTGAGGGCAGAACTGGACCATGCGACTGGGGGTGGCGGCGAAAGACGGATGAGGAGTAACTTGGGGGAGGGGGCACGTGTGCTGCGGGTTGTGGGGGGCGCTCAGTCTGGCTGGGAACTGCCACTCGAAGTGCAGCGAATCACGCACTCACACACGATTGTTCCTCCCGCACACGCTCACTCCGAGCGGTGGGGGTAGTGGGGGTGGGGAGCGCGCTCTGCATCTCAGACGTCTCCAACCCCGACAGCGACACTGCGCCCGCTTGCCAGCCCCGGCGGCTGCGTAGCAGGCGGAGCGTAGACTGCGCGGCCGGCGCAACTCAACGCGGAGCGGGCTGCTTATGGGCGTGCTGCGGACCCGTTAGCAGCTCCTCCTCGGCGCCGGTTCCCCGCTACTCCAGGACTGGCCACCACCTAGGAAAGAGCGAGGGACCCACGCAAGACTCTCCCCCACCTACGGTGCCTGTCTCTCTCTTGAGCACAAGTTTCCTAGGGCCACAGGGCTCTGGCTGTGGCTACTAGCTGATCCGTAAGGAGAGAAAAGCACAAATTCCATTTTCCACGAGGTGCGTGGAAAAACCACCGCATCTCCTTTCCCTCCCACCAGCAGCCCCCTAGGTCCTGCGAAAGCAGGTGGGGGGGGATACACAGAACTAGGTTGAGGGGAGTTAGGGCGCTTCAGAACTTGGAAAGTGGGGTTGGAATGGATGTTTGTAAAGTAAGGAGCGAACGAGGTATCAACTATATAATTTTCTGAGACTATATAATTTTCTGAGACGTTTCATGATCTAGGCATTGTGTTCCCGGCAGTGGGAAATACAGAGGCAGAAGCTCGGTTCTGGATGGAAGAGACTTAGTGTTTTAATGGAGAAGACCAGACTGTGACATAGAAAGTGGAGGATGTCACCTGAGGGTTGACTACATCTGCTAAATATGAAACCAAGACAGTCCTTGGAGGAAAAGAGTTGTGCGGCGGAGAAGGTTCTGGGGTCTTCTGAAAACAGGACTTCTGAGTTGGTCCTTCAAGGATATGTGGGATCTGGCTGTGAAAAAATGAGGAAGACAATTCCAGAGAGTTATGGAGGCAAAGCATGGAATCAGGAAACACATCTTTAGGGGACAGTGTTGAGGGCTGCTTTAAGGGGTCCTTTCCTATAAGAGACAGGAAATTAAAGGAAGAATGAAAGTGTTCTTGGCCTGGGCACGGCCATGATAAGATGCTTTGCATTGGGGGGAGGGGGGGGAAATGGGCATTTATTGAAACCTTAAAATCTGTACCCCCATAATATGCCGAAATAAAAAAAAAAGATGTTTTGCAGTAGGAGATGCCGAGGAAAGAGGAAAGATAGGGGGCTAGGAGAGCATTTCCTGGGAGGGAGATAGTGGGCTCAGATGGGTGTGATAAAGTGGGCTCATGGCCCTGCACCCTGAGCCTCTCACCTCTCTCTAGCTCCCAGCTCCAGGGATGCCCACCTTGGATTCCACGCCCAGGTCATGGAGCAGAGGCTCCCACTCCCCTCTGTCATGCGGGGAGCATGGGATGCATACCTGCACACGCTGTGAAGCCCCCTTTGTGCTTTTTGTAAGTTGTTGGTTAGGGCTCTGCCACTTTTCTTTCACGGTGTCATAGAGAGGGCACAGTATTTGACATCGGAGGTTAAGTCCTAGCTTGAATGCATTTACTAGCAGTGTGGCTCCAAGCCTGGGTATTTTCATCTGCAAAATGGGGCTGACACATACCAGCCCTGCCTGCTTCACATGGGATCGAGTGAGAGAGTGTCAGGGAAAGAGCTGCATAGTTATTTAGAGTGCAGCCCTCACTGCACCGCCCCCAAACAGGGCCCCTCCTGGGTGCCCCCCAGAAGTGGGTAGAGCCTTGCTACCCCCAGTGAGAAGGCAGGAGTGCTATCCATCTTTACTCAGCAGAAGAAAAGCTTCTCTTCCTTTTATGACTCAATTTCCCTTTTCTGCAGCACGAAGAAAATTGCTTTCTTCCCTTCTCTCTGTTGAGAGGATCAGGGGAGGGAGTACCCCGGGAATCTCTGTGTGGCAGGCCAGCCTGCGGAGCCAGGCTGTGCACCCCCCAGGTGGAGAACAGCAGCAGAAACCCAGAATGGCCACCCCCTTGGTCCTGAAGAACCATGCCCCTCCTCCTTGAGCCTCCCTGAGACAACTCCACTTCATTTATATCCCTGTTCCCTGTGGTGGATTGAGACAGTTCAGGGAAGAAGAGGAGTCGGGGCAGAGAGCACTGTACTGGGTGCCCTTTGGAAGGAGCAGCTGGTTCCATCACCCCAGCTGGCATCACCAGCCCAGCCAGACCCGTGGCAGGATGGGGGTGGGGGTGCCAGGTCTCAGGTCCTGGAGCTTTTGCTCTGACTTCCCTATGGGCTCAGTACGTTATGAACAGAAAAGAAACAGCAAAGCTGGAAAAAAAAAAAAAAGCTGAGACTTTGCTGCAGAGCACAGAGGCACCAACAGCCGGAATTAGAAGCTGTCGCTTTGGGAGCTGAAGGCTGACAGGAGATGAAGCCGAGGCAGGCAGGGGGCAGGCAGGCGCTCCACACTCCCCCTCCCCTCCCACCTGCTGAGCCTGTCCCCCATCAGGCCCCAGGCTGGCAAAAGGGCTTTCTCCCAGAGGCACCTCAGTGTGGTCTGTCACTCTGTCTGCCACTGCCTCCCCCCCTGGGCTTCTTTCCTCAAGTGTCACCAGCCCCCTCACCATGTCACGTTGCACAAGCTCGGCAGGGTTGGGCCTGGTGGCACGTGTCTGGGAGATCCAGAGGGCTGCTGGGGGGGGGGGCAGGGGGTGGAGTGAGTCAGCACGGGACTCGTGTCTGAGTCAGCAATGGGAATGGGAAAGGAATAGGGACCCTTCTCCTTGTGCAAAAGGTGAAACTGAGGCATGTTGAGTGGAAAGGGATCCTTGACCCAGTCCCACAGATACACAGCAGGGACAGGACCCAGGTGCCCTTCACCTGCCCCAGTGCCCCAAGGGAAGGCATCACCTCTTCCTTTGCACATCCCCTGCAGCCAGAGATTAATTCATCTCCAGGGCCCAGAGATGGCATTTGCCCAGGAGACACATTGTCCTTTTTCAGAGAACAGAAAACAGGGAGATGAGTATCCAGGCCTGGCCACATGGGAAGCCCCCAGCCTGCTGTGCTGAGGCCTCTCCAGGGGCAGGATTGCATCACCTTCCCTATTTCTGGGCTGCCCAGCTCCAGACTAGGGCACAGAGTCTGCCCAGCCTGGCCCCCAGGCCAGGGGAAGGCAGCTCCTCCTCCTGAGCAGGCGTTGGCAAGAGCTGGGGGCAGCCCTGTGGGCTCCGTTTGGTCTGGCCCTGGCTTATGCACACTGCCGGGGTCAGCCTGGGTCAGTCAGTTCCTCTAGGCCTGGATCCTCATCCTTTCACCTTCTACCCCTGGAAGTGGAAGGAGAGGTAAAGGAGGAGTGGCTGAGTGCCTGCCTGGAGGGTGGAAGACAGGGCAGTGCCCCGGGTGTTGATGTCCTCTCCCCCCTCCCCCCCTGCTGTATCCACTACAGAGTGGGGTAAGGGGTAGGCTGATCAGTGCCAGGCTGCAGTCTTGTGAATGAGCAGCCCGCTTGCCTCACCCTGCAGCCAGGGTGGATCTCAAACGCAGACCCCCCCAAGGGATGGGGGACATGTTTATTTTCCGAAGGCACAGGTGCTCACAGCTAATCGTATTTGCTATAACTCCAATAAGAAAACAACCTCTTCCCAGAACCAACCCCCACTCTGCCTCTCCCAAGCCAGTGACTGTGCCCACCTGGGATCTGGGATTATGCCATAGGTACAGTGAGTGGTGGCTTCCCACAAGCCCCTCTACAGCGAGTTTTGGAGCCAACCATAGCTGCCACAGGGGCCCAAGCATCTGATTGCTGTAAGTCTTCCCTCAAAAGGGGTCCAGGTGGCCTAGAGGTTTGGGAGTCCCCAAAAGGGTGAGGGGCACCTTTGCCCTAAGCTTTTCTGTTCCAGCCTTGAGGGTGGAGACAAGGAAAGGCCACATCTGTGTGTGGGTAAAGAGGAGGTGACATCATTTTCCAGTGGTTGTGGCATCAAGGCCAGCAGAAGGAGAAGTAAGTTGTCTTCAAACCCAGGGGCAGGGCTATTTCACTGAGCTTTGAAAGGGACCTCACCCTGGGGTCAGCTCCCAAGGGCTTTTTCCCTAGCCCATTTTAGTTCAGGGGCACTCCACTCCCCCGCCCAGCCCCCATTTCCTAGCTGTAGAACAGAGGCCAGACTTAGGCAGGAAATATTGGAATAGGGTTCTTTAATAGGAATAGGAAGGAGAAAAATAAATAAACCTCACAAATTCAGGAGAGAAAATGATGCTGACCTGTCAGGCAGCCTGAGTGGGGTGCATGCTAGGAAGTGCCTGCCGCCAGGCCCAGGGGTGATGCCAGGTTCAGGGTGGGAGAGTGCCTGAGAGGCCACCGCCCCACATGACTCAGCAGCTGAGGGCCAGTCAGCTGAGGCAGCTTTTCCATGTCAACCTTCCATTGCCAACAGGCAGAAGGTGATGGAAGGGACCTCGGCCTGGGACCCTGGGAGAGGCCATCCCAGGGAGCTTCGAGGTAGTGCTAGACTCTGCCTCAAGTTGCTGACAGCAAGGCCTGAGATGGGGCCTGGAAGCCCAGTTGAGCTGCCCACACTGGGGCAAGAAGGTTTGGAGTTTGGGTTTGATCCCACTTGAACCACAAGTACTAGAGTGAAGGCTCCAGGTGGGTAGGTCCAAACCTCAA